GATCGAGCAATGAACGTTATGAAGGAAAAATTGCCATTGATATTGGACCGAAATCAATACAAAACGTTGAAAGGAAAAAAACAGTCCTATAAGTTGGTAGGGATTCAGCTGGTTTTGACCTGAAAATAACACTCCTGAAAGCTGCTCCCTTGCCTTATTTCGCTCAGCATTTTGCATAAATGCCGATTTGTTTGGGAGCAACAGTCAACATTGATTTCTTTTGATCGGCACACTTTCAAAATAGAACCGATCGATATATTCACAAACATTAACATTAGTCCGAGGACACGCTCGCCTATTTTCTCTCAATTTTCACGATAAATTCATTTGATTTCAGGTGATTATCTTCGCGACAAATACGATGGCGCTACAGAAGTCCGAGTGAATCGACGTGGACGCCTCCAATTGAAAGATCCCCGTATCACAATTCCCACGGCCTACGATCTGGTCTATTTGGAGGACTCTCCGGACTACTGCGTCAAAGACGACGTGAGGGGAACGTTGGGCACGAAAGGACGGCCGTGTAACCGAACCAGTCCAGACATTGACGGGTGCAACATATTGTGTTGTGGGCGTGGTTACAACACGATTAAAACAGTGGTGAAAGAGCGGTGTGAATGTAAATTCAAATGGTGTTGTGAGGTCCAATGTAAGACTTGTGTGCGATCGTTTGACGAGCATATTTGCAAATAACATCCGTGTATCTTTTTTTGAATGGCGGCTAATTGATCTAAAAGACTGTTGAACGATGTTCATTTTTTCAGTTTTTGTTTTTGTCTGTTGCAGCCAATCCAGTATTATGCGATCTTTATTAACATGCCTCGATGCTCACATGGGTTCTGTCTGTTGCTGATTTTTTTTTATTGAATGTTTGTGGTCATATTTACAAAAAAAACACAATATTCAGATGCAGACTGTAAACTCGAAAACAATTGAAAATTGACAGTAACTATCCAACCTGTACGTTGGCAGAGGTGGCACGTTAGTAGGTAAAACCTAATTTCATACTAATTGACTGCCCAATTAATTAATTTCCCCTGGATCTGTTAATTTATTTCCGTTTATAATTATAGTTTATTTTATATACATATATGTAACATACGAAATTAGTTTTTAATATTTTTATTGTGTACTTAATAGAAAATAAAGGGAATATATCCACTAACCTTGTGGTTTTGTTGATTCATTTAGAGCCAGCAGTCACAGGAAATGGTGATAAGAAATATTACTGGTTTGAATTAATTGAGGATACATTTTAGCTAAACCAAACAAGAATCTGCCTTATTTCAAAAAAATAATCGAATGCTCCCATATTAACCCTGGAATTAAATGTACAGGGTGTCTATGCCAAATAATACCACAATGCAAACATGATTGTTTAATACAAGAGTGTCTTTCGACATACAGAGCGCCAAAGCTGAATACAAAATTATTAAAAACGGGACAAAGGACAGCCCGTTAATTTGTTCTAATAATCAAATTGTGTCAGAAATATGTCTATTTCCACTATTAAACGGCATATGTGGTAGCACCCCGTTTATGTTTATTCCCAAATTTGAGTTTGTACAAAAAATCCACTGAGGAAAAATAATTCTGTGTTCTCCACTTTAGGACCCCGTATATTCAATTACTGGGTGAATTAATAATTTTTTCAAAGTAAATTTTCCAGAGCTCAGAAAAGGCGTAAAAAACTGACTTTTGAGGAAATTGGACGAATTTTACCCCATCAGTAGATTTTTGGGCGCAGATGACGATTCTGTTCTCAAATTCAGTCGGCGACGTTTCGTTTCAGAAATATTCATCCTCAATTACTACAAACCGATAATACAATTTAACTGATTTGTAATTGCTGCGTCCAGCGATTACAAATTCCAGATCCTTACAGATGACCATCCGGATCATAAAACACTTATTTTTCCACTACTTTCACTCTTTTTAGACCGAAATTGGGAAAAATCTCAACTTTCGGTGACGTTCACTATATTCAAGCTGACACAAGGAAGTTACCACTTTACAGCGCTCTGCGGCATCTTTTGGCAGTGCTGCCAACTTGAAAGCACAACATGGTAGATTTCCGGAAACAAAGCCCCGCTAATGTCAAAAGTTGCTCATTTCATGACAGATATCAAAATCATATGTTTTTCTCCAAATGGGTCCAAACCGCGGCAAGTAATGCCCTCAATATTCGACTATTTCACCAACTCATCCATAATTGATGGTCTGCTCATTTACCTGAATACTTTGGGAGTGTATTTATCGGATACAGTTGAAATACTACGAGAACCAGACCAGCTGACAGCAGGTGTGTTGGATTTCCACGATTTCCAACTGGGATTACTCCAGATTTTCATTGGGATTTTGCTGTTTAACTTGCTGCTGGTTTTTCTGGCCTGGCAGCGATACGGCAACGAGATTCATGATCGATTTATAAAGCTATGTAAGTACAGTTATTCCACTTTCAAACCCTATGAAGAAAGATAAAAATTGACTTTGTTTTTCATGCAACGCCATTAAAGTGCGTATAACCAGACGCTGTGTGTTTTACAGCTAGTACAAAAGAGATTGAAGAGCTGAAGGCAAGCGTCGCCAAACTTAAGCTACCCAAAGAACACACCCCAAGAATTTAACATGTCGGAGAAAATAGCTGATAAGGTGAAGAATTTCTTCCAAAAAGCGAAGGCCGATGCGAAGTTCAAAAAGGCAGGGCCTGGTCGAAAGCTCACCGAATCGCCATCATCCTCCACGTCCGCTGTGTCTTCTCGAAAGAAGGGCGAGTATGTGCCCCCTCAAAGATCCACCCCATCGGACGTAACCAGACAGTCTGCAGCTGCAGCATTGGCTCGCATGTCCGACCCGGAGAGAGGCACCAATACCAAAATATCTTTGAGCACACTCCAGGACGTGGTTCGAAGGGAATTTGACTCCCGAAACACAGACGCCACTGAGGTGCCTTCAGGGCCAAAGCAAACTGAATCGGAGGCGTCGCCTCATTTGGCTGTAAAAGGCAGGCTTTGCAATTCTACCGCTTCACTTAAATACTTATCTTTCTTTAACCATTGCAGGGGTGTACTTCAAATGCCCATTTGTTAGCGACGAGATCTTAAGCAGAGAAGAGTGGAGGATAAAAATCAAGGAGTTCCTAATGACGGCTTTAGAGCACGAGGCTGTTTTAACAACCTGTTTGATTATCTATTCTTGCAATTACAACAGAACAAAGGTAACTAAATGAAGACCAATAATCATCGCTTTCCTAACTGCAGATTGTTGAACATCCAGGTACAAGACTGCGTGAACATCCTCTGCAGATACATCGACAACATTATCGGCAATCCATCAGAGACGAAATTTCACAGAATCCGATGCTCCAACGCAGCATTTGCCGATAAAGTCGTCCCAGTGCTTGGGGCCACCGAGTTCCTACATGCCGCCGGGTTTCGACAGCAAAAACTGGAACACAATGGCGCAGAGGAGGACTTCTTGGTATGGTCCCAAGAAAATGCAGAAGGAATCGACACATTGGAGATTTTACGCGATGCCCTTAAGTCGGAAAACCGAATAGAGTTGGAGTTGGACAGAAATACGCAAGTTTTAACTCCAGCGCAGGCGGCAGTCAACTTAGACCTGCCGAAAGAGTTCTACGCTATATCAGCCGAAGAAATCAAACGGGAACAACAAACCAGGTAATAATTCAAGGTGCTTCATGAGGAAAGTAGAATTGTTTTAACGACGCATTCTGCTACACAAAAAAATCCCGTTCCCACGCAAATATTGCGAAAAACCGAAACATTTCCAATTTTATCACACCATGAAGGCTTTC